TCCATGCCCTGAGTTGGATTCGAACCCACGATCCCGGCTTCCGAGCGAGCGAAGACAGTGCATGCCTTAGACCGCTCGGCTACCGTGACCGGCCCTGGTATGTATAGGGCTATGTTTTTTATTGCTAGTGGTGTGGAACTAAGTCCCTTGTACTGCGGCCACTTCTGGCCTATTGTACCAGCCCCAGATGATAGGTGAGGGTGATTGTGGAGCAGTTGGTGGAATGAAGATTGGCAGGGGAAACCGAAGTACTCGGAGAAAACCTGCCCCATCGCTACTTTGTCCACCACAAATCCCACTTGACCAGACCCGGGATCGAACCCGGGCCGCCGCGGTGGGAAGCCAGCGACTAACCGTTTGAGCTATGGCGCGGTCCATGTATAGGGCTAAGTACATCGCACGACAGAGGAAACTGCAGTTAACAAGGTTCTACACAATGTGACTTGTAGCGATATGCCTGTGCCACGTCCATCTTTCCCCCAACATATCGACGCGACGCGACGCGAGGCGAAGCGACTCAGCAGCTCTCCATGTAAACTTTAATATTTCAGTGAATTCTCTTCAGATCGATCCAGCTACCTATATTTAGCCAGCGATAAAGGTGAACCGCACGTACAGGTGTAGTGCAGAAGCGACATTATGCAGAACTTCGTAACTTGACAACACTCCAAATGATTCTACGATTCTATCTTCGGAATTACCTTTTCGATCCCTAAATGAATACCCATCTATTCATCATTTGATCTGTTAGCGCTATAAATCTGTATTCTTGGAGGTACTCCGTTCGAATCTCGGGCAGATTACCAATAATCCTGACTGAGAGGCTCTGCGGGTTTCCTTTCTTTCGATCGAACGTCAAAGCGGTAATGACTAATTACGTACTTTATAATTGTTTTCGTTATTCTTGTCCATAATCCAGCCATACGAATCACAGTGGTCGCGCGGTCTAGGGCATGAACAGTTTTCGTCCGCTCAAACATTGTGGTCGTGTGTTCGAATCGTACTCTATGTATGGATGTCTTTGTACGTTTATTCTATGTTTGTGCTCTCCTGTGTATAGGTAGAAGAATGAAGATATGAAAGAAATTATTCCAAGATTTATTTGAAGAAAAATATATCCATTTAGTTAGTATACTGAAATTTTGAACTCCGTGTAGTATGGCCGGTTATACAGTGTGTCGCCAGCAGCGGTGTTCACCAAGAGCTCTGGGACCCATCTAGCCCTTTTCTAATGGGGGGGGGGGTGGTAACCTTATTCCTCTCGTTCTACAGAAATGTCGGCAGTTTACAAGAGTAAAATATTTCCTGTTTACTTTATATACGTAGTCTATATATTGTCAAAAGTCGGACATCTGCCTGTATAGTGGGTGTCCGGACCCTGCGGCTAAACTCGCAAGTGAAAGTATGGGCAGACATATTTATTTTTGAAGAAAAACGCTGCCTGCACTATATTTCCAATGTTCAGCATCGATACTGTCGCTAGGCCATCTACTGAAATGTAGTCCTGAAAGAGAAACTACCGAGATGAACAAAAGAAACTTCAACTCGAGTGTGTTTTATAACAATTTACAACTGTTCTTCAGTGTTGATAGAGGCGTCCTGTGGGAAATCTACGAAATTTCATATCAAGCAGAAATATACAAGTCTAGGCATTAACAGAATTCTTCTTTCACAAAAGAAAAAACCTGTTCCTTAAGTACATAGAATAGTGTACATCGAGAATGCATAAGATCAGTTCTTTCCTGAGTTCGGATGACGAATTTTTCATAGGTCCAAAGCTAATAACTTTACATCTTTTCTGTTGGTTCCGCCTCTCGCCATGAAGAAAGAAAATTGATCGAGGCTGTTTTAGAGTAGGTTTCTGGGAGAACATGTGGTTTCACAGAAATGGGAATCAACACAGAAGCAGGGAGCACTGCATCATGACGAGGTTTATAATTTGTGTTCATCATTCATTCATTCCTTCATTCATTCATCAATGGCTCTACAGTCCTTTGTTGGGCTTTGTCCGCTTTTTCAGTTTCGTATTCCGATACAGTCGGTAGGACTCCTTGGACGGGGGATCAGCCCGTCGTAAGGCCGCCACCTACACACAGAATAAACGCACACAGATATCCATACCTAGAGCGAAATTCGAAACCATAACCCCAGTGTTCGAGAGGACGAAGACAGTTCATGCTTTAGACCGGGCGACAACTGTGATCGGTAATTTCTATTAATTACCAAATACCTCGGCACTAGCTGGAGGTGAGTGGTCAGCTTCACGCCCCGGCCGCTGCACCCCCGGAGAAAGAGCCGCCGATACCCATTGATTAGGAGGCTGTGTGGGCCCCAGAGCCGATCTGGACGCTGTGGAGAAGAGAAAATTCTTGATGCTACCGGGACTTGAACTCCGATTCCTCGGGGAAGGGAAGTCTCAAATATGAGAGAGTAAAATATGGTCGCGAGTCTCAAGGGACTCGGACCCGAGAAAGACTACACTGGTAAGGCCCAGCAGCATATACACAAGACAGACCCGCCCTCTCCCAAGAGAGGGCGCCCCACAAAAACTAGACCGTAACTGTCAAACTGTAATAAATATCTGGTCATGAGCTCCAGATGTGTCTCAACACCAAGACTTACTTACTGACTAATCGTCAGTCGCGATGTGACTGGCTTCTGAGTCTCACTTTTTCACGCACTCCCAATATCACTGTACTATAGCTCACATAGTCTTTAAAACACCCGTTAACTCTTCACTGGACGACTTCTAATTTTTCTTCCACTATGAAATTGCCGTGGCTGACTTCAACTCTCCAGTCCAGTTCTCTCAACTGCACTGCACACTACTCAAACTTACTGCTGTACTCCTCTAACCTACTACTATACTCCGGCAGCTTACTACTCAGCTTAGGAACTCTGCTCACTTATATAGACATGGCACGGACCTACAGAAAACACATATTACGTGATCGCTATCCAGCCAGTCCATTAGAGTGCTGGCTGAACCTAGAGAAGACATATCACGTGATTGCTAAGGACTGTTGTGACGTAATTGCGCATGCGCAAGCTGCACGGACACAAAGAGAACACTGTTGCCGGATTGCTAACCGTGTGTGTGTGTTGCGGGCTTTGTCTGGCAATGGATTTACATACCACAATATTAACAACATAAACAACAAGAAAATACATCGGTTTCCTCGCCCAATAGCTTTAACACCTGATAATGACCATATTGGTCGAAACATGTAGGGATAAACTTTTAAAGTGAAGGATTTCTAATAAATTTTATAAAACATGGTGTTGCACGTCAGACTGTAAACCTAATCGACATTATCTGTTATAACAGTATGTAAAGTATACCGGAATCTGATCTCACAACCATACGGATTCAATTACACCGATGCAAATAAACTCAGGCTATGGTTTTTCTCCCCAATAGAAAGGTTTTCTTGTAGATTCAATACACTGGTTTGTTACTGCACTGGTCAGTTTCAGTTACCTTTTGTTTGGAGGTCAATACAGCAGCGTATCCTGTTTTGTTAGCCATTTATTGAAAATGCAGGCATGACGTACCCAGATTTCTCGTCGTGCAAACAATTTAATTAGCATGAACGTTTCACATACAGGAGTCAGCGCAGCGATAGTAGCACTGCAGGTGCAGGTGGTTAGGTATTATTAATTAGTGCTATACTCGTATATATTTAAAATAAGACTTCTAATTTATATGCCGGAAAACAATTGCCTGCAATAAACCAGTATTTTTTTTCTACCCGTTCCTCCTGTGATGTAAAGTAGGAAAGAATTATATTCATGATATTTTCTCTTTATCTGCACTGCAAATTTTCATTTCCGAAATTATCTGCATGCATAGAATCCGTCCGTCCATCCATCCATCTATGGATCTACAGTCCTTTTGTTGGACCTTGGGCAATTTTTAAGTTTCTTAATCCTATACACATTCGGTACGACTCCTTGGATGGGAGATCAGCCAGTCGCAAGGCCGCTACCTGCACAGAATAAACGCACACAGACATCCAATCTTTGAGTGGGATTCGAACGAACAATCCCAGCTTTCAAGCGAGCAAAGACAGTTCATGCCTCAGACAGCGCGGCCACTATGTTCGGAAGAATTTGTTTAGGGAGGTTATTTCAGAAATATCGGCTATGGGAATCGACGTTTGAATACATAACCAAGTAAAGAATCGGGATGGCTCAGTCGGTATTGGGACTAGGCTCCGGTAAGATCTAGAAATTTGTGACGATGTAATATTAATATAATTATTAACTTTGGCTGCTATCCATCGTCCTATTTTTATTTAAAAGCAACGTTTCGGAGACTGGAGATAGGGACCAGCTCTTTCGATTGGGTTCAACTAAGTAGGCTTATACTTGAGGACGGAGACAGAATCCATTTTCCGACAAGTTTTTAAATGCAAAACACGACGATGGATAAAGTCCAAACAGACAATAACTGCATCAAGGATACGGAGTTCAATTCCCGGCAGTAGGAACAGGGTTTTTATTCCTCCACAGCATCCACACCGGCTTTGGGAACCACTGAATACATCGTGTGTGTGTACCGCGGGTAAAGCTGCCGGGTTGTGAAACTGACCACTTTTCTCGAACTACCAAGGTTACGCATGCGTGGGTCTATACATCCAGTCTTCTGCATATCTTCAAGGCATGGTGCTTAATTTTAATTAGAAACAACTTCACTTAACCTTCATTAAATAATGTGACTTTGCGTTCCGAAACGTCGGTTACTATTCTCTCTGTTGCCACTACATGTTTCGGCCTAACTGGCTATCATCAGGTGTACAGGTTCTTGTGATGAAGGAATCTGCTGCTCACTGTAATGTTGTTCTGTTCTCGGATAAATTCGAGGTTATGGTGGGCTAACAAGTTATCGCTATGCACGTGTTTGCTTTATCTGTAACACGTGACGGGCTATATTACATTTTTATTTTAAGGTACATATGTACGTGGTATATTCAGTTTCTGTATATGTTGTTACTTACGGTTTCGTCGGTTTCTTGGTTTGTCTTGGGTTTGTTGTGTGCTTGTTCTAAATATTTTTGTTGGCGTCATCATGGTCGTTCACTGTAGCTGTTCAGTGATATCAGCTGTGTTGATACCTATGGTGCAGTGTGTGTTCTGTGCTGCTATCTGGTGTTCGTTTTCTGTAATGATTTGAATACTGGGTTATGTGAGACAGTGTCCGTGTCATTCAAGCAGTGCACTAAATACCTGAGTTCGTAAAGAATACAGCGGTAGCAGAATCCCGTTCTCTGCCAACGAGATTCTCACTTTATTCAGTGTGATGTACTTCGAGTGATTCCCGAATCGCCTAAGGAGTTCAGACCAATCACAATACAAGAGAACAATGGACATCCCACATCACAGCCGTGCAGGGGAACCTGCTTCTCATCCTGTCTGTTGCCTGAGGCACACTTGACACACACGAAGTTTCAAGAGTTAGCCAAACCTGTCTTCATGCAGCTGGATAGCGCTACAGAGAAATGACATCCTGGAGATGCAATTGTCAAGGTGTAACTCTGCTAGTCGAAGGATTTTGAGCTTGTTTCCGAACGTTATCGAATTCTATAAAGTAAAGGAAATTAAAAATTGTTCAGCATAAGAACAAATGGGCAGAGGAGAGCCAATTATAGAAAAAAATTGTAAAGATATCCCTGTAACAGGCCGTGGAGACCCATAGATTTGTGAGGCGTATGGGCTCCCACATTTTCTAGACAATCGTCTCACAGATGGCGATGAGGTTGTCAGTTTTACGCGCCGGCCGCTTTTTACCCCCAGGAATGGTCCTGGTACTAGTTTCTGTTATAAGCTGAGTCGACCCCAGGGTCAAAGTGCTGCTGGAAGGACTAGGCCAATTGAAATATCACATGAACTCATCAGGAAAGGATCCCGCGACCTTCCGGCGTGTAGCATAGTGCCTCAACTACGCCACAGCGCGCCAATTCTCGAAACAGCGTGTTTATTACATTTAGCGTGCCTCAGCTCTGTGAGATTTGAGGTTGTTACAAGTCTAAATGTTAAGACTGAGTTTTTAAGTGATGTGACGTCGATGTGACGTGCCAGAAGATCGTAGTCTCAGAGCATGCGCAGTATCCGACATAGCGGTGAAGGAGTGACTGAATAAGATTCGTAAACTTGAAGAGAACCATTAATCAGCTCAAAGCAAATTACCTCACCACAGTAAACGGTTGAGATAGATCTGTATCTATGTTTACAAGACTGTGAAATCTCTTCTTAGTGTAGTCCGCTGAACCTGACAGACGTTTCGGAGGAACATGTCGCCTCCATCTTCAGGGTTAAAGAGTAAGCCAAGCAAGATACGAATATGAAGTAGGGTAGTACGATGTGTGAGTTATATTTCATGTTGGCCTATAAGTATTTCTGAGAATTGATTTACCCAGCAAATCAATTATCATTACAGTGATTACTGTATACTTTCATTTATATTTGTTAAATGAACTATCATCATCATCATCATCATCATCATTGTGGCGTATAGACCGTTGCTAAGCGGTGATTATGTAAACAGAGGCCGTTTTTAGGTAACGCCCGTAACATACACGCACGCAACAATATAAGAACGGGATTATGCAACCCGTTTCTAAGCAACGTTTCGATAAACACGTTTCCACGGCAAAGGGCAAAATTGCAACAATAGAATGTAGTCAGTGCCGAGATGTTTCAAGAAGGACGGTTTGAAGCTATGAGTTAGTTGTTGAATTTTCCGCAGTTCATTTGACATGAAGTAGCTGGTTGTTGAGTGAGAGAGTTCAGTTGTCAGTTGTCAGCAGTTCATTTGAGTGAAGTGACATGAAGCAGCTTGTTGTTGAGTGAGGGAGTTCAGTTGTCAATTGCCAGTTGGTAGTCAGCCTGTGAAGAGAAGACTAGGACGTTGGTGTGAAATGTCCGCCAGCCTGGGACCCAGTTAGTAGAGTTGTCAGTGGAAAAGAGTTCTGCACGGGAGACTTAAGAATCTCTCTCGATAGAAGCCGTTGCCAGGAAACGACTAGTGTTGACTGTAATAGACTGAGGACGCTAGTCTGCATATGTCAGTAATGTGTGAAGTGTAGTTCTGAGTGGAGCAATTAAGTGGTCAATAAATCCATTCCACTCAATCCATACCCCGTCTATAGTCACGCCTAAATATGCGACATTATCGTCATCACTACCATCATCAAGTAGCCACTCGTTCCGGTCTCATTCTTCAGCAGTGTCTTCCAAAATCTTCCTCCTCCCTTAATTCATGCGGTTCGTAATACTTTAACAGTTTCGGAAGCCCGTCCCTTGCAGTCTACCAACACACTGAGTCCAGCTGACTTTATATTTCGAAACTTTGTCGCACTGTTTTCTGTTTTAATCTTCTTTACGTGTATTTTGTTGTCCAGCCTGACATTCGTCTCATAAATATTATTTTGCAATTCTCTGACACATAACCATTGTAATTTGGAAGAAATAGAAAACAAATTAATTTATAATCAGCAATTTGTAATTATATTTTTTTTTTTCCGTGGCCGCAATGCAATCTAAACCGATAAAAAGGACCATTAAATAAATTAACCGTCACGCCCATTGTAATGTAAGTACTTACATTAGCGAGAGTTCTTTAGGCCCAAATGCTCCGAATGAAAAATTTATGGGTGAAGTAGGAGGAGCGTGAAATTGTTTAATCCGGTTCTGTCTATACCGTGACCTCCTGGGTTATGACAGCTTCCATTTTGATGAGTAATAACGTTTTTGAAGAACACACTGCCTCCATATTCAGGCTAGAAGCGTCATTTCTAAGACCACAACCGCCTTCATGATGTGGTACATACATAGGAACAACGTTGCCATGCTGTGCGTTCCGGTTTCCCATGTCCCTCACTGTAATAAGAGGGAGCTCATAAAAATGTATATTAACATGATTTTCAGAGAGAGAACAAAGAGAAACACTGAGAGAGTGGAAAGGAACATGTCAAATGAAGAGAAAGGATATGTAACTCCAGTAATTCTGGCTGTCAGCTGCAGGACTAAGGGCTGCGGGAACGTTGGGAATAGTTAATATGAGGCCACGTACAGCTCTACCGCGATCTAAGGATCCCTGCCCCAGCCTCAACCTGACACAGCATGCTTCAGTTTTCCTCGGAAACATATAGCGCTGTTGTCAGATCATGGCACGTATTTGCAAATTTGCATCGGTCAGTTTGTCTAGCCTTGGAAAAAATTTTCAAGCAATTCACTTTTAAGAGAGTCTGTTTTGCGTGTCTGAGATTGCTGAGGGCGAGAAAAGGGAGAATGGGGGGTGTTGTTATTCATCTTGTACGAGTTGCAGTGAATGGCAGACGTTGTGGACATCAGCATAACATCAGTGAAGATAATCACAAAGAGAACGTAGTGGGATACTGGAGCTAAGGACGGTAAAGAAGTAACTCCAGTGATAAACCATGAGAAGTCAGGAGAGTGGCAGTAATTGATTATTTTGACCAAGACGCTACGCAATCGATCACTCGCACTGACGCTATTCGAGGTTTTCCTCAGTTTAATTAATTAAGTACAGGGACAAATTCGCCTCACTGTACCTTCGGGTAAGTACTGGGATAAAGGTAAAGCTATTCCTCCAACAGACCGTGGAGGCCCCTAGGGTTGTGAGACGTCGAGACTCCCACATTTTCTAGACAATCGGTTCACAGATGGCGGTGAGGTTGTCAGCCTTACGCTCCTGCAGCCTTTTAGCCCCAGGAAGATTCCTGGTACTCATTTATTTTAGAGGCTGAGTCGATCTCAGGACCATAGTGTGCTGTAAGGATTAAATAAATTGAAAAATCCAATGACCTCATAGAGAATCGAAACCGTGACCTTCCGGATATGTGACTGCAGGCCAATGCTGCGTGTAGGCGGACAGCGCTGATACGAGGGATCATTAAATAGCGGCGAGGCTGTACTACCTTTAGTATTTAGAGAGAGCGCATAATGACAGAGGGGGTTGCAGGGATTTATAATAGAAAAAGACGCGTGGCAAAAGAATTCCAATGTATAACAGAACGGACCTTGTGCCAGAGTTCAGTGTCATCCCAACAGGAACAGACGTAAGCAACTTTCTACCTAGTCTTGTATTGTTTAAGAAAGCAAAGGAAGGAAAACAAGTAATATCCGTTTGTGATGAAAGCAGTTGTATACCTCACTCGTGAAATGGCCTGCTTTCGAGTCACGGTTTGTCTACAAAACCGTGAGTGTATTGAAATGATAGATGAACAGGACACTAACATGGAAAGAATAGGTTTCCCAGATGCGTTATTTTTAATTTTTCATACACCACTGGCCTTGGTGTCATTTTATTGCAGGTTCAATACAACTGTTGAAAATTGATCACACTCGATAAATCACAATGCGGAACTCTTTAGACACAATGGTTATCACATGTAACATACAATTTAACATTCCAAAAGCTGTGCAGTTGTTACTGCAGAGATGCTTATATTTGCTGTGATGTTGGTAATAAGCAGCGATTGTTTTCCTAAACAGAATTAATGGGTTAGTTTAAGTAACAGAAAAACAGAAACGCAGCAGGAACTAAATTTTTAATATTACTACATGAAGTTTATATTTTAAAGGCTTGGATAATAGATTATATTTCCTTAGAGATTTATAAACATGCATAACATTGAAGAAAATATTATAGACGAAAGCTAAAGATATTAATTGGGTCTCTTTTATGTAAAATTCTTAGGTACAATGAACCATAGTTTAGAAAAATTATTAAGCTTGATTGTAACCCCATGTAAATTAGGTCGATAAATAAAACTGAAGCTATCCCTGTAACAGGCCGTGAAGGCCCATAGGCTTGTGAGACGTTGAGGGTCCCACAATATCTAGACAATCGGCTCAAAGATGGCGGTAAGGTTGTCAGCCTTACGCGCCGGCCGTGCTTCAATCCCCATGAGAATTATATCGATAGGAAATGAAAATATATCTGCTTCCACAATATTTTAAAATTCAGCCATTAAAATAATAATAATAATAATAATAAATCCAGAGAGTAATTTCGGAGATAAAAGACAGGCGATATTGCTTAACA